CATTAGTGCCCCTAGATTTACTAGGAGTTTTTTCTCATAGATTCGTTTCTGGATGAGTGTTCTCTCCCATCTCTAGTATGATGAGAATTTATGTTGTAACCCCTCCCCCTCATGAAGGAAGTCACAGGTATTTTCCTAGTTATCTAGTAACAGTTTCAGAACTCACTAGATTTCAATTATTGTTGTGATTGTGCCTGCTAAAAAGGTACAAATCTAGCCAGTTTAAAAAAAATACTGATAAAGAAACAGACTAACAGACAGAGAAACAGAAGTGTTTATATGCATATAAAAATTTTCCTTAGTACATCAGGATAAAACACAGAACACTTAGTAGAAAAGAATAACAGAATTTGAAGAAGTGCACATACATCATTTGGGATGACAAGCAGAAACCAGAAGGTCTGAGTTCAAGTAAACGCCATAGAGAGTTGGCATCAGCATGAAGCCACTGTACATTTGCAGTTACTTTTTCATTTCTCTTTTGCATTCCTTCAGTGTCCAGCAGAAAGGGGTTTTGGCGAGTGCTCAATGACAAACTCTAGAGCAAGATCTCAATGTCTGGAGAAGCAGACATTGAGGGTCTGGCCAGCTAGAAAACCTTCACTAAAAAACTTTAGTGTGACAGCAGAGGAAACTGAGGGAGTGATCAAGCTGAAGAAGAAGCTGAGAAGCCAGAACCAGGACACAGTTTCTGTACCAGGATGCTGAGGATGGGGGGATCTGAGCTGGTGATCCATCCTGCCCTGACAGGCTGAGAAATCCCTCCTATTTCCCAAACACTCCAAGTACTGAGACATAAATCAAGTAGAAGAAATGCAATTTTGAGATCTGTTTACCTGTGCTTAGAAATCTAACACTAACATTTTCAGCTAAAAAAAAAATAATTTCTGGTCACCTTTAAAATGTGGAAGTTGTAACAAAACCATTTTCAGCATTCAGTATTAAAAAATGCTAAAAATCAAATTAGCTATTTACATCTGTCATGCACCATCATGTCCTGGGGATGCTTCAACACTGGCACAACTGCTGCTGAACATTATGATAAACCACCACAGTATTCCAAAGTATGTACTTTGTCCCACTGGGGAAAAATTAAAATATAGTTGCTCTGGTTCTAACTCACATCAGATTTCACTCCTTCTGTAAACGAGTAAACAAAACTATATTGATCTTGGCTGTTACATCAGTCAAGAGCTTTGATATTTCACAAGGGGCCCACATTTATAAGCAAAAGAGGAAAAAAACCCATATAATCTGTCAACTTGGGTATCAAGAGAGGTAACTCAAGTTTCTCTGGTTTGGGGAGGTATTTTAGTATTTCCTAGCGTAACAAAACATGATGGAAGAAAACTCCAAAGCATCCAAGTTTGGGTCCAGGCTCTTATGACACTAGACTATGTCCATGTCTCAGCCCTTATTTTCTATTATATTTTTGTAATGATCCCCTTCCAACTCGAATGATGAAAGTGCACATTTTGCAAATGACACCTCTGACAATCTGCCCCATCTGCATGAATGACAGCAGATGATTTCACTCTTTAGGCATTCAAAATAAAATGCACATGCGGCAAATTCCAAGCTGGCAGGAAAATCCAGTCATTAAAAAAAGTGATTTGTTTTCTAGAATTGCAAGCACAAAGACTCCATTTATGTCCAATGCCATAAAGAAAATGAACTGTTATCTTTTTTTTAAACAACCACAGCCAGGACATATTGGAAGTGTTTTAATTTCAAAAATACTAACTGGGAAATTAGAGTCTAAATAGTTTTTCTAAAATGGCATCATTTTAGATACAGTTTTCAGATTGATTTCATAACTTTGCCCTGCAGGAAAAGGTTTTATCATCTTCTGCATAAACTGTAACGATGCCTATTTGCTGCTGGTGTCACTAAATTTAGGAAGAAACCTAAGATACGTGAATTTTAAATAAAATTATACTCATTAACAAGAAACTATATCATACGTTATGGGAGCCTGAAAAAAATCTACACTTCTATTAAAATAAGATATTTATTGTTTCTGTCATTCTGTCTTTCCTACTTTCTCTTAATAAAACAGAAGAATGGAAAGAGAACAGCAAGTTAAGAAAATATCAAATGTAATTGATATATCCCCATCCTAAGAAAGCTTGCAAACACGATCAACTTTACACTAGATGAGCTGCTTAATTGGACTCACCAGGACTACTCCCTATACAAAATGTAAGCACATGCATCATTCTTTCCAGGATCATGATTATGTGTCATCTGTAATGAAAATAAAATTACCTCCTTTTTTCCCCCCAAACGTCTCCGTCTGTACTTATTTTTGTGGCTATAGCAGCATCTAGTGGACAAGTAGCAAAATTAACATCTAGCGTGTGATAAAAATATATGTATTTTTAAATGTAAATTGCTTTAATAATTTTAAAGTTATTACATCTCTTATAAATGCTTTTCATCCTTCCCTTTTCCTCTCTCATTTAACCTCTCAGCTAAGTGCTTGCATATAATGAAGTGCTGGTTGTAGTCCATCAGTGAACACAGACCCACTATGACAAAAATGTACAAATACCCCATAAATACTAAGGTTGCACAGTTAAGCAGTCAAAAAATTAGAACCCATCATAAATAAAGTTTTTAAAGTTATAGTTAAGAGAACAAAGTGAACTCCTGCAGGTTTTCTCTTGACAGAATCAAAGCCTAAAAAGAACTCAGATCCCCAAAATAACCACTGAAGAGCAAGGTAGCATGCTAGGGTGGCTGACAGACATTTTTTTTCCTGCTTCATTTATCTCTTGTGTGTTTTGTTCTGACTTTGATGTAATTGCTCTTGCCTCTTTCATATTCATTTTACTGAAATATCTGCCTTATAGGAATATCAGTTTAGAACCTGCAAAAAAAGTATTTAATGGCAAGTGTTAAATACAGCTGTAACTGTATTTTCTAAACTAGCTCACTGCTGAAGTTGGCTTGAAATGAACTTCAAAGGTCTGGAAATATATGAATATATTGGTCAAAATGACAACTTCCTCCTCCAAGTGAAAGGGGAGCCAACAAGGAGAGGTGCTATGCTGGATCTTGGTCTCACCAACAAGGAGGGGCGGCCGAGGAATGTGAAGCACAAGGGCAGCTTTGGCTGCAGTAGCCATCAAAAGGTGGTGAAGAGCAAGCTAGCTTCCCCAGACTTCAGGCAATAGGATTTGTATCTCTTCACGGATCTGCTTGGGAAAGTACCACAGATAAAGCCCCAGAAGGAAAAGGCACCCAAGTAAGATGGTTAACAGTCAAGTATCACATCCTCTAATCTTAAGAGCAATGCATCCCAACAAAGAGGAATTTGGGTAAAAACATCAGGATGCCTGCATGGATAAGCAGCTCCTGGACAAATCGCAACATAAAACCCAAAGAGGGTAGGTACTTTCCTACCTACTATCAGAAAAGTTGACTCAGCTTATGTCGCAGTTGACACAGCCATGATACAGAGTGTTGCCATGCAATTTCAGAAAGCCTCAACCCATACAGAATGACATCATAGCACATCAGAAGGGTTCAAGCATCTGCCCTTCTTGTTCTTCAGCGCAACCTTTTATACCCTCATGTCCCTGCACTGCCCCTGTGTGCCCTCTGTTCCCTTTGGTGGTTGGTCAGTGCCCCCCTGCCAGTGCTGCTCACCTGCTGCTCACAGCTGCACCCACTGGGGATGAGGCTCTGCTGCAGCCCCATTCCCAATTACCACAAACTGTCTACCTACAGAAAGCAGCGTATCCAATACACAACCACACACAGAAAGTATTCTGAATTTACATGGTCTAGCAGCTTGATTCAGGTATTGCTTTTGCTGATAAACTCAATGCCCCTGAAGCTCCAAAGTGGGTGACTTGCCAAAACCTCCTTGAAGTTCATTACTGTTGTTTGCATTTTACACAGCAAGTATAACTAATCCAGCTTCACAAATAGCAACAGGAGGTAGTGTCATCTTAGGCACACAGAGAAAAATTCAAAGAAATTTTGGTGAGAAGAGGCAGTGCTCTAGATCCAACCAGAGTATCTGTGGAAGACACTTGCAGTCATCCACCAACTCCAGGGTCATTCACTGGGACATTGTACACATCAAGCTTTATCAACTGGTCATGCTTTCAGTGACTTGAAAAGCCTTGACATAAACATGTATGAGATTTGCATTTCTTACTTGTAAAAAATACTTCTGAGGTGCTGAAAAGCATAGATAGGAAGCAAGCATAGATAACATTATTAACTTGGAAACCAAAATAAAACAATTCAACACAAGTATCTCGGTACATAAGATATGTACAACAAGCCTTGATAGGAATAGTATTTTTCATTTAACAAGGTAATGTAATTAACAGGCAACTTTTTGGGAACAAAGCCCCCCATCTCATGAGTGTGAAGTAGGAAGAACACTTTTGAAGACTACACACAAATTACTACTGTAATTGGGATTCTAATCTCACATGAGCTAGTAAGGCTGTTCTCCAAGGAGAGTCTTGGTACCTATCTGGGTGGCCGGTTAACATAAGAAAAAGGTTGTTATATGCCAAGGGGGAAGTCTGATGTAGATTTTATTTTGTGGAATACCAAGCGGCTAACAGGATGGGGGAAAAAATGTCACACCTCATTTCACCCCTAGCATGGTACACTCGGCTGGCTTGCAAGCTGCATTTCCCCAGTTAATCTTATGAAGAAGCTTTTACTCCTTCGCCAGCACACGCGGGTGTCCAGCCCTCGTGTAACCCTGCCAGAGGCAAGACCCGCTGCCCTGCGCCTTGCTGCTGCCACAGCGGAGGGCACGACCACGGCGTGTGTACAGCACACACGGGCTGCAGAACCTGTGGGCTCCTCACTCCCCCGCGCCCTTTGCCTGCAGCCCAGCAGAGCACACGCACTGCGCCCACGGAGCCGAGCCCAGCCTGGTTCACTGTAATTAAACCTCTCGTTTTGTTTCGCGCTCCAGACGCAGCGCGCCGGCCCCGCCCCGCCGCGTTCAGGCCTTCCGCCCGGCCGGGGCGGGGCCGCCCCTTTCCGTCCGTCCTTCCTTCCTTCCTTCCCGGCATGGCGGAGTATTCCTGCGTCAAATCCACCAAGCTCGTCCTCAAAGGGTCCAAAGGGAAGAGGTGAGGAGCGGGCAGGGGCCGGTGCAGGAGCCCGGCCGGGCTCAGTCACCCGCTCCTGCGGGCCGGGTCGGCGGCTCTTCTCACTTCTTTGCTTCTCCCCTTGCAGCAAGAAGAAGCACAAGGAAAAGAAAAGGAAAAGGGAGGAGGATGCGGCAGAGCAGCTCGATATTGTTGGTGAGCTGCTTTCCAGGAGTTACGTGACAGTGCGGAAACTGTAGGGGATGTGGCAGAAGCTAAAGAGGATTCGTCAAGCAAGTGTAACCCCTGTAGAGATATATAACTATTCCTTACAACATGTCATTAGTGTCTTGGGATCTTCCTTGATTCCAAATGGAATCTGTGACACCAATGGGATGGATTCAGATTTTTATAAGTAAAAAAATGCTACTATGTTAATGAGGTAGGAAATATTTGTAAGACAGTAGACAAGGAGAAAAATTTATTGTTCAAAAAAAATGCAAAAGTTGTAATTCTAAGTTGTGCACATGGGAAGGGCTGCCTTTAACTTTGGTAGAATTCTGTAGGAGTCAAATGTTCAAACTCAGATTGGTTTGAGCAACTGAGGTCTGAGGATTACAATTCACATACTTAACAGCAAGAAGAAACAGTATCTCTGTTATTCTTGTGCTGGAGAGCATATATTATTCTAATAAATGGATATGACCCCAAAACTGCAGGAGACAGATCCAGAGGGAAAAAATATTTTTGAGGTGTGTGTTTGCTGCATCCCCTGAATGAATCAGCTTGGTCTGTGGACTAACACAAAGAAGGGATGAAGCACAGGAGCTTGTAACTAGGGATGACAGCAGGTCAAAGAGCAGGACTTCCTGAAGCAGCAGCAACAACACCATTAAATTGTCTCTGGACTATAAAATAATGCACAGAAATAGATAGCTATTTGGATTTAAAATTTCAGAGAAGACACAGAAATATCAGAAGTTGTGATTTCTCTGTTAATATACTGTCATGGTTTTGTATTACAGGAAACTGGTGGGCTGTCAGTAATTTCGGTGAAATTACAGGAACTATAGCTATAGAAATGGATAAAGGAGCTTACATCCATGCCCTCGACAATGGCTTGTTTACACTTGGAGCACCACATAAAGGTTTGTTCCAGGAAATTTGAAAATAATAGTTTTAACAATGAAGTGCCTAAACGCATAGAACTAGCATCACTTCAAGGCAAGCAATGTTACTGCTAAAACCAGTTTACTACAAAGAATGCAATAATTCTAGCTGAAGCATGCAGATGACTTAAACCTAATGACTGCCAATCAGTTTCACTCATCTAGTTTCATGCTGGTTTATGTGTGCAATAAATTGAACAGCACTGGATATGATTACCTGTTAAAGGCCATACCACTTGCTGGATAAAAAGCAGTACAGTTTTTATTAAAACCTATAAAATGTTTATGGTGTCACTTGAAGAGTGAAATTCAAGGTAGATGAGTTTTAATGCTTATTGCTGCATCCTTGTCTTAATATACTTGTTTTGTCACTGCACAAGAGGACTACTAATGTGCTGGGATAATTAGCTTGTTCTTTGAATTTGAAGGCAATGATTCTACCATGGACTGTTCCAGAACCCTGACAGTGTGTGTCTTTCATCTCCAGACTGAGATCAGAGCAACAATGGCCATATTCTCTTGTTCTGGTTTTGAGGGATGGAGAAGCCAGTAGCTGTTAGGATACTAAGCTGAGTTACCATGGCTGAACCATAATGGATTTTGTTATGAAAGAAGTAACATTACAAGGAAATGAAAGTTTTCAAAGCTATCAGGAAAATTACAAAACATTCTCAAATATAAATTTCCTTAAATATGTTTATACTTAACTAATGGAAAATTCATTCCTCAGGTGATGAAGGCCCTAGTCCTCCTGAGCAGTTTACAGCAGTAAAGCTATCTGATACAAGGTAATTACTGTAATGTTTCAAGTTTTTATACTTGTTATTTTTGGATTTTGTGCGAGGGCATTTTAATACTCTTTTGAAATACTTGTCTACTACTAAAAGTGTCTGTGATGTGTTGGATATTGTGAATTGCATTAATTAAAAACAGTCTTTATTGTTTCCTACAATTCCTTCCTTCCTTTCCTTCGAGGATTGCTCTCAAGTCTGGTTATGGCAAGTACCTTGGTATAAATTCAGATGGACTTGTTGTTGGACGTTCCGATGCAATAGGATCAAGAGAGCAGTGGGAACCTGTCTTCCAAGATGTAAGCTGTTTGGAATAGTTCCTTTGATATTGCTAGTGTTTGACTGTATTTTGAGTTAATCTATGTAGATGGTTTATTTTACTTTGAAGTAAAAAGCTTTTTGCAATATCTTTCATATTGTAACTTACGATTTTCCAACTGCAGTGCATTTACTGTAATTGAAAGTTTTTAAAATACTTCAATAGCTGCATTCTGGCAGCTATAAGCATCTTAAAAATGAAGGAGTCAGCAAGTCTGACTAGCTATTGAAGTATCCATACATAAAAGAATTATTTACAGAGACATTTGGTGTATTGTTGAGGATAAATTGTTACAAATCGAAGATTATATACAACCTCATTATACTTACAATGTGCGATCCTGTTTCTGCAGAGGAAGATGGCATTACTAGCAGCAAACAGCCGTTTTATTAGGTGTAATGAAGAGGGGGACATAGAAGCCAGAAGCAAAACTGCAGGGGAAGAAGAAATGATAAAGGTAATCTATAACTTCTGCAATTAATACAGGATTGGCAGGAATCAAACTCAAGCGAGCAGGTGTCTGTGTGCTATGATTTTCTGTTAATACAGTTATAATTGCTTCCTATAAGCTGTCGAGTGATCTGGCCCACAAGAAAGGTAAATGAGTTCCAGGGCTGCATAAATTCTTAGTACTTCCTGTAGAGATAAGAAGATACTTTACCATTCAGGAGGACAAAAGAGTCTGTGTGATCTTCCAGGTAGTTCTAAACAGCTTGGGACAGAAAAGAGTAATTATAAGCGAATTAGGGACAGAGAAGGGTTTACCAGAATGATCCAGAAGGGGAGATCTTCTAAGAGAATCTCAAAATACTGTCTTGACTTTATCTGAACATAGGAAATATATGTATCTCTCCAAGTAGAGATAGGTGTCTTAACTAGACAGAACAATAGTATTTTAAGTCAATCTCTGAATTGACCCTGCCAAAATTAAGAACTGTAATAGTGCTCCTTTGAGATAAAGGCAGTTATCTCTTACCATAGTATCAAGGATTGCACTTGACATTTCCCATATTTCAGGCAGCTCTTACTTCTGCGTTTGTTTCTGGTTAACCAGTTTGAAAACGTAAACTTGAAAAGTCACTGTGACTCTCATTCTGTTACAAAGGATATGTAGTCATCTTTCACCTGTAACTTTCTGTTTTTAAAATACAGGTGTTTTCTATTGTGTTTTGGTTGTTTTTTCTTTTTTTTTTTTTTTTTTTTTTTTTTTTTTTTTTTTTTTTTTTTTTTTTTTTTTTTTTTTTGTTCAATTATTAGATTCGTATTTTTTTTTTTTGAGAAGCTAAGAAGAAAGATGATGTTCCACAAGAAGACAAAGGAAATGTTAAACAGTGTGAAATCAATTACGTGTACGTACTTTAGAGCTGGTAACAGGCTCAAGTACCTTTTTTTGCTTCTGGCTGGGGCTGTCTTAGGTGGAAGGGCCCAACTCCTATCCATCCTCTCGCTCACTTTTCATTAGCAGGACAAGGGAAGAAAACAGGATGAGAAAGCTCATTGGTTGAGATAAAGGAGAGCTGCTGTACCAGATACTGTCCCAGGGTTAACTATGAGAAATTAGTTAAATTTATTTCCTTTTAAATGGGTGTACTGAGAGATAAAAAATTAAAACCACCACCTTTCCTTCTCCCATCTCTCAAGCTCTGCTTCTCTACAGACTCTTCCACCAACTCCTCCAAGCCAGATGGGCTATAGGTCAATACACAATGGTTTCTCTCAGCCACTCCCTTCCTTTCCCTCTTTTCCCCTGCTCTGGTAAGGTCTTATTCATGAGCTGGAAGGTAATATTTGCTCCAGTGCCTAAAGCATGTCCTTCTTCTTATCTGTGGTTGATGGTGACACTGCATTTTTAGTTTTTTTTTTCCTTCTCTGCCTGTGTGGCATTTTGCTTTATCTTAAATATGTTTTCATAGTGGTGCCACCAGCTTTGCTGGTGGATTTGGTGGATTTGCCTGTGTCCTGTAGTGGATGTCTTGAGATCCAGCTCTGTCCACCACAGGAGAGCCTCTGGCCTTTTCTCACAGAGAAAAGCCCTGCAGCTTCCCTACAGTCAGCCCCTTGCAACTACATCCAGTACACTTTTGCTCCCTGATTTCTTATGCTAGTAGTTGAAGAAGGGGCTCTTCAGATCTTGTAACCACTTCATGCCAGTAACATAGGGGCTCATTCCTACTTAGACTGCCAAAAAAATAAATAGTTTTCATCTACAGAATCCTTAGTGCAACCTTAGTACTGGAATGGTTTGCTGGATTTTATTAGGTCAGTTACCTGCTGCTTTAATAGGAGCTAAGATTCTTACCACAGCTGCTGTTATGATGGAAAACAAAATTTTTAAAAAGCCTCAATTCTTTACTACTCTTCTTCCCCCTTACAGGAAGAAATTCCAAAGTTTTCAAGACAAAAAGCTTAAAATAAGCAAAGAAGATACAAAAGCCCTTAGAAAAGCCAGAAAAGAAGGCACTTTTCATGAAATGCTACTTGACAGGTACTTCAAAGTGCTAGAAATAATGTATTGATTAAAAAGCTATTGGGAGATGGAATTACAGTAAAAGCTGGGGTACAGAAGAGGGCTAGATTTCAGGGAGATAGGTCCTTAGTGTTTTTCCTCTGGTGAGTGTTGTGCCTGAGTCCTGGGGGTTGTCACCTTTTTTTTTTTTTAATATGGATTTTCACTTCTTTAGCTGAAGTTTGCAGGTTTGAATTTACCTGTAAATTAGTTCTTTTGAAAATCTTTAACTAGGTTGTTCAGTTTGTTTAGTATGGAGTTGTTGAGGGGTTAATCTTTTTAATCCTGAAAATTGAGCTAATTTTTAACATTTTTCAGTGCCTATGGTACCAGAATATTTTGGAGACACAGAAGTTGCATTTTAAAGAGAAATAGTGTTTATTAAGGACAGTCTTCATCTTATCTACTGGGATTTTTTTTCCCCTAAACTGAGACTAAAGAAACCATGTTGAATTTTTAAAGCCTTTTATGTCAGTATATAGTATAAATATTTGTCTTAATTCAGGGGTGGAATGCAGAAAACTATATCTGATAATTGCAAGTGATGTGAGAACACTACTGAGCTCTAACAGGTGGTTAGTTTCAGATCATGGTGAATTGAATTCCATTCCTCAGTGGAGGCAAAACACAATTATGATGATTTGAAGGGAAAGTGAAGGTTAACTTTAGAAACTGCAGTTCCACCTCCTCAGGAAAACAAAGTTAATCAACAAATCCAAAGTGTTGTTAGGCCTTTATTTGTACTTTGAAGCAAAGTTTAAGAAAAAATGCTTTCAATACATTCTTAACACTTTGAGGCAGATAAAACACCCAGGTGTAATTATATTTGGTCTTAATCTGAATTTTGTTTTCATTCCCTCTTCCCATACAGGAGAGCTAAAGTGAAAGCAGATAGATACTGCAAGTGACTCCAGCTGGCCCATTTTCTTCTGCAACTTTGGCAGCATGAAATTGAAAAAGAGTAAAATATTTTATAGTTGTTTTTTATTTAAGGCATTTTTAAAGTATCTTCAGGAATTGTATTAAAATTTTCTCAGATATTAATAACCCAGTTATCTTGTTAATTATATATCACTTGTGAATACTTGGCTTGTATTAAGGGAATGGCTCCAACAAAAATTAAAGGTATCTCAGTCACCAATGGTAAGTTATTTGCCACGTAACTTAAGCCCTGGGAGACAGTCTGTACATTGCCTTAAGAGAGAAAGCTCCCTGGCTTTTAGTTTCTTTTAGGACAAAATTTAGAAATAAATAGATGATTGTATACAAATGTTCCTGGCCAGAGTCAGGAATTCTTGGATTAAAATGCAGCATAGCTGTGAGGTGTGCTGTGAAAGAGAAGGAGAACAAAAGTTACTAATTTTTTTCCAGAGCTTCTTAGTTTGGCCTAGGACTGGGGATTAGGGTTCATTAACTAGTTGTTGTAGTAACACACTACACGTCCCTCCCCAGAAATGTGACTGATGTACAACGTGCCATTGGAATATCACAGTGCTGCTGTGGCCTGCTGCCAAAACTTCACTCAGGAGCACCGAGAAAAAGACAGCACTGCAAGGAGCAGGCTGCAGGCCATACTATTGATTGGAAGTTCAATGCAGGTGTCATTGATCCACAGTCACTGTGAATCTTAAATGCATCTGAAGTGAAGGTGGCAGTAGATTGATGTAACAGCATCTGGTCTTCTTTCAAGAATATATTGTTTGAATAAAAACTTGCCTTGTAGAACCCACAAGAATGATTATTCAGATACACCAGGAAGCAGAAGTATATGCTCTGGTGGGGGAGAGTGCTGAAAGGACTGCTCAGTAGCAGAATAAGAGCCTGAGAATTAACCCTGAAAGGGAATTTTCCATTTCATGTTAGTGTAAATAGGAGAATGCAGTGTGCTGCAAGTGTTGCAAGGGAAAAACGGAACTGAGAGAAATGTTTGGCACAGAGAGGAAGGAGGTGAGTAAGTGAAGTAAAAAGCAATGGCAGAGCAAATGAAATGAGACTGTCCTTAGTGGGAGAGGAAGTACTAGAATTGGCAAGGGACTGGCAGCCTTGCAGAGAATAAGGGTATTTTAGTAGCGATGGGTTTGCCCTGTATGTTGGGACTCATGATACACTAGAGTCTTGAGAAAATGTGTTCTGAGGTAACACACAAACAGGGATCTGGGGAATTGACTGGAAATCTAGTCCCAAGAAAATGAAATCAAAGGTATAATGAAACAGTGCAGATCAATGTGTTAACTGTTGCTATGAGGAATCTTTTTGGATGTTTTCTCAATGGAATTATTCATGGGGTCATCTTGAAGATACTACATCCTGACAGTAGTGTTAGCACAAGGAGCTTTAAAGGTGCTGGTGTGGACCCCGAAGGCAAGGCATTGTGATAGCAGTACAACAGAATAGCCATAGTCAGAGAAGGTGACTGCTGCTGGAAGGTAACTGTTTCTTAAACTGAGAATTTCTTTACTAGTGAAAGAACTAAGTCAGAATCACAAAGTAGCCTCAAAAAAGTATACTATGTAATGTGATGATGTCATCATTTTGTCTTCAAAGCATTTGGAATGAGTTTTTCATTTTCCAAAGTCATTGTTTATTTTCTCCTGTTAAAAATGTACTAAAGATGGTAAAGCATCTAGACTATGATAATGAAGTCCCTAACAGCTGTCACCCCAGATATAAATGATGACCAAAAGATGTTCAGAAAATAGCAGGACCAACTTAATCAGACTCTTTTTTACCCATAATAGTGTATTTGGATATCTGGAAGTAAACACAGGATTATGGTCTCAAATGTATTTGTTTTCAACTGAAAATATTTTCCAAACCCTATAGAAACTGCCTGATGTCCTGTTTTTAAAGAACACTCCCATGAAAATCTCAAGATTTATCCTGTTACACTGTAATTTTCCTCAGTTCCTAAATCCACAGATACTTTCTGTATCTTCTTTCACCAGTGCTTAAATGTTTTTATGCCTTGGTCTCTAAAGCTCCGTGCAATTCCCAGCTTCTACTCTGAACCGGCTCCTTACACTGCTGTATGCTCTCCTCCCAAGCTTTCCCACACTACAGTACATTTTTTATCGTTTCCCGTTTCTTAATTTTTGCAGTTCCATGCAGCTTTACAATCAACTGTCTGCCAAGGAGTTCTTTTTCTTGCCACCCCCACTTGATTTTGTAAGAGAGTTAATTGCACAGGCAGTTAAGTCACAATGTAGAGACTGCATCACTTCTTTTCTGTGTGCCTAAAAAACATGTGACATAACTTAGGCACTGCACAGTGAGACACATTATCACATGAGACAAGATAAATTGCAGCCTGGAAAGTTTTGAGTACTTTTTCATGGTGCTTCCACCACCTGTTGCTGATATACACACTCATGAAGCATTCATTTGCTCCCACTAAAATGATAATGGTCGTAATAAAATGACAGTACCCACCTAATTTGTCTGCTGATTTGTACTTGTTACAACAGCCTGGTCTAGTGGAAGGTGGCCCTGCCCATAGCAGGGGACTTGGAACTAGATTCTCTTTAAGGTCTCTTCCAACTCACACCATTCTCCGATTCTATGAAATAGATACCATTTAAATAATAATTAGAAGGCAGGGCACTTACAGAGTGATGCCTCTCATTCCCTGTATTTCTCATTAGTCTGTCTCCCCGGCTGCCCACTTCCTGCACTCCTAAGCTGCAAGATGGGAAAAAATCCTTTCTCAAGAACATGTCTGCCTGGCATCTTTCATTACCACTGATGCTCGAAAGATAGGCTGGAAATACATCCCCATAGACCAATGTCCATTAGGCAGGTATTTGTTTATTGCAGCACTGGTGGTGAGGGGGATATCTCCTCCTAACTCACTCACCCACCCAATACAAGTATTGCTTCGTCTTGCTATGTCTCTACAGCGTCATCACGTATGTGCTGGAACTGATTTACACAGTATAATCTCATGGTTGCCAGATCGTTCTTTTGCACTGCACTTGCATCTCCCCGGTCCGGGGGTTGTCAGGGGTCTTTGATGAAGGCTTCCAAGGTCTTCTTCGCATCTGAACTTTTCAACTTTGCCTTCAGAGCATGTGCAGTTACAGTGTTCCTTGGTCTGTCTGGTCCCAGCCAGTCTAAATTCTTTATTTTGTGGCCAATCAGCTTTACATTTGACAATTTTTTATTAGTACTATACTTACCTATCTCTAAAGCCATGCACCTGNTTTTTTTTTTTTTTTTTTTTTTTTTTGTCTATCAGCATTAAGCAACTAGTTAACCACATACTTTTTTTTTTTTTTTTTTTTTTTTTTTTTATATCAGGTTATATAGGTATAAAAAGTTATTATTCAGGTTGTACTGATCTCTTATAACTCAAGCTATATAAGCACCTTGGAACTTTGACCTAAGTTCCATAGGCATCACCGCGCAGCCTACCTAAAATCTGCGCAGGACACAGAGTAATTAAAAATCTCACTAGTGCCAAAGTGAAAACTGGTGCCACGGGTTTTCTCTCGGCGTTGCCACAGAGAGGCGGTTCCGTTTCAGACCGAAAAGGAGCAGCGGCGCTCCACGCCGCCTGCCCTGGCGGGGCCGCGCCGCGCTCCCGCCCCCGGCGGGCGGGGCTCTGTCTTGTGGCCGCGGCTCCGGGAAGCGCCGCTCGGAGCCGAGCCGGGCAGCACCATGGCGGGCCGGGGCCGGGCGCTGCTGGCGCTGCTCGTCCTGGCGCAGCCCGCCTGGGCGCCGGACCCGGTGAGCCTGGCGGGGGACGGGCAGGGGCGAGCGGGGCGGCGGGAGCGGATCGCCCCGGGGCTGGCGGGGGGTGCGGCCGCCGCCCTTCCGAGCGGGAGGCCGGGCCAGCCTCTGCATTCACGCGTGGGGATGCGCGGCAGCGTCGCTCCCCGCGGGCTCCCTGTGCCGGGCAGGGCTCCTGCGGCGAGCGGCCGCAGGGGCTGTGCCGCAAGTCCTTGCTCGGCCCTGCGCTCGGTTCCGTGCGCGCTCTAACGTCAGGGTCGCCCTGTGACACCGCAGCGGCGATCCCCAGAAGGAAAGTTAAGAGGCGCTTGCTGAAAAAGCGCACAGTTCTGGATCTGCGTGTGTGTGCGGAGATTCACCCGAGGGGACGAGCGTAGAGCAGGTGGACTTGGTGTGTCGTTTGTTGCTCTTTCGGCCGTTTGGGTTTTTTTAACTGAACACATTAAATATTTAACTTCTGCTGCAATTGGGAAGCTGGGAAGGCGACGGTAGTAATCTGGAGCAGGCTGGCTTCCATCTCCTGGGCATGTAAACAGTTGCTCTTGTTTCCTGTTATATTCCTGAAGCAGCGAAGCATACTTTCGTCTCTTGAAGTTCCTAAATTTACTCTTATTCTGTGAAGTGAACAGGTTTTAAATATATATCTGGGTTTCAAAATATTTTTTGCAAGTTTTTTTGGTTTTTTTTTAGCAAATTGGATTGCTTTGGGAAATTTACTATTGGTTTTGTGGAAGCGGAGAGCTGCAGGAAATGACTGGATGGCGAGTGTTCCCTTAGCGTCTTTTAATACACATGATTTGGCTTTTCTCTCTGCCCTCTCTTCCCTTCTTCCAGTCCCAGCCTACCAGCCAAGAGCAGCTTCCTAATGTTATAAGCTATCTCCCACTTAAAACACTTTAAGAATTTTAGCCAAAAGTATCTTGGGGTGTGGAGTCATAGGAGAAAGAGCCAGCTGTCAGCAAAGTAGTAGCATTAGAGCTTGATTTGCATTTGATTTCACTTGGTGCATCTTTGCACTTGCACAATATCTGCCATGTATCCAGGTTGTGCTGCTGTGCAGCCAGATATTAGGCTTCGATATTTGATTTTTGTTTGAGATGTAGGGTTGCATCACATGTTGAAGAATCCTTCCTAAGTGCCGCTGGGTTCATCTCGTTAACAAAAAACACGAGATGAATGCCTTGAATTACGTCTCAGAGGTGCAGTCTGTCAGTCCCTTTAGCTTTCATTGAGGCCTCCTCAACCATATTGACCTTCTTGTCCAAAGTGCAGTTTAAGTTGTCTTGTCACTGTAACTTCAGTACTGCAAAAGTACTCTTAACCTCTGTGTTCAGAAAGGTGAATAGCACTGGGACTCCTGCAGCACAGTACTGTTGCATTGGCATTATCCCATTAAGGAGAAGGAGCAGAGATGAAAATGTGTTAGATCACAGAGTTCATAGACCAAAAGATGCTGAATACAGCAGATTGACTGAAAATATGGAATTATATTTAATAGCTCAAAGAGGTAATTTTCTACTTGTTTTTCCATAGGAAGGTGAAAAATATAAAATACATAAATATTAAGGAGGTATGCCAGAAATGGTCTACCTCAAAAATAAAGAAATAAAGGAAGTGCTGGTATTCCTTAGGCTGGACAAGCTACATTCAGTCTATTTCATGTTAATGAAATCAGGCTAGGTGCCAAAATATTTACTCAGTAGGCTTTAAACCTTGCATTAATTTTCTGTACTGCAGTCGATAATAACTGTTACTACTTGATATTTTTTTTTACAGGTCACCCAATTCATCTCAACAGCTTGCTAGTTATTTGGTTTCTATTCCACTTTTTTATTTTACAATGATTCAAAATATAAATCTGTGGTACTTCCACTTTTTATTTCCATATTTCCCCATACCATGTTCTACTTCTCCACTGTGTTATCTTCCTGTTAATGTTTCACTTCTGTGCTGTCACACATCTGGCTTTGTGTAATTACATACATCTCAATTTCAAAGTTGGCAGTATATAAGATAATCAAGATATGCAACCTACTGGTAAGAGTAGATTTTAAAAAGCAAAACAAAGGGAGCATTAAATCACCATTCAAGAATAGCTGTATTGCTCTTAGGGGGTTCAATGCATGTTTGAAAAGCACATTTATAGTGGTAATCTGCTGTTTGGGACCAGCTTCCAGTAGCTTTTTCTAGGGGATGACCTTTGGCTTGTCATATGGGAAACTGAAGGTGATTCTGCCATGCTAGAAGGATGTTCCTGCTTTTCCTGAACAGCATTTATTGTTCTTCTTCCAGCGTTAAGCCTCTGCAGAGAGGAGAACCCCACTGATTACAACAGTAACTTCATAGCTGCTTATTTTACTCTAGTTATAAAAAATGCTTGATGGTTTTTCTGCTGCTGCCAGAAAATTCTTTAGGTGTCTTTTTTTTAACCTTCTCGGAAAGCTTTGCAGTTAATCCTTAGCTGGTTGAAAAAGATAACTATTTTTTTGTTCCTTGTTAGAACATAGTGTAAAAAAAAACAAAACAACAAAACACCCCTCTTCTAGTTTTCTGATTGTCTTGACATCTTTTTAGTTGCTGCCTATGTGTCAGGGGAAGCCATACACAGAGCTGTTGCAGTCACTTGGTTTGTTCTCATTGGGGAAGAGACTGCGGGGAGACCTCACTGCAGTCTACAGCTCCTGACAAGGGGAAGCCCAGGGCAGGCACTGATCTCTTCCTGTTGCTGATCAACAACAGGAGCTGAGGGAATGGCCTGAAGCTGTGTGAGGAGAGGTTTAAACTGGATATAAGGGAAAGGTTTTTCACCAAGGGTGGCAGGGCTCTGCCTGTCAGAGATCAAGATGCATTTGGACATGTTCTCAGGCACACGGTGTGACTCTTGGACTTGTCCTGTGTAGAGTCAGGAGTTGGACTTGATGATCCTTTGTGGGGACCTTCTAACTCAGGTTATTCTGTGATTCTATGATGTAATAGTTAACCTAAAGAAACAGTTAATAATCTCTAATTTCTTCAGATACCTTAATCAGTTTTGAAGACATACAGGTTGTTTTAAGAATTACTGATTTCTTTACCCTGCTTTATTCATAGACAGGTTAGAAATCTAAAAATACCACATGTAAGGAGGGAACATTTTCTCTGTTGTCTATACCTAGACCTGTTGCTTTCCTCACCTTTTTTGTAGCTTAGGCTGCTAAGCACTGGGAAGATAAAAATAGCTGCAGGTACAGGATTAAAATCTCAGGGGAAGGTGCCAGGAGTGATGTAACATTTAGCACCTTTAACTTAAAATCCTCTGAAATCAGTTTTGCACAGGTACCACTGTTTCCTCTGTGACTGCGGGCTCTACTGACAGAGCAATTGAATTCTGATCCACTTTGGATAACTTTTTTTTAGGAGCTTTATCTGTCAGGAAACATATTTTGATGGAGATACTTCCTGAAGGTCCAAATCTGTACATCCACTGCAGTAGCATCTATATGAAATGTCACTTCATTCCGCTGGATTTTAGAATTGCAGGATGTAAAAATTGCACAAGGCAGTTGCATCAATGCTGTTAAGCATTTGTCTGGCTTAGCACAAAACCTCTGACTTTTGTTGCCTAATTAATCATCTGATATCCCTCCTACCCTCCTTGTTTTGATGCTTCCTCACTTTGAAAATTAAATGGCCTTTTGTGTTTGACTTTGTGTTCCAGCTT